CGCATCCCCCGTCCTCCCGTTCAATGGCAACGTGACCATTTAGACCCCCTGCCATGATAGAGCACTCTCCCTTCGGAAATGATCTGATGGCATCGTCAAGGCTCAGAGCTTTTCAAACTCGCGACAGCCTGTTTCGCGAATTCTCGAATATAACCGCCGTTACCCCTTCGCGTCTACCTTGACGAGCCTGACACTGGTATAGAAGGGCTATTGCGATGAGTGAAACTTCCAAATCTCGGAAATCAAAAAATGCTGCCAGAAACTGGGAAGGTATCGGTAAATGGGTTTGGGTAAATAGAATGGTGGGAAGCAAAAGAAGGGAACACTGACCGACTCGTCTGATAGTTTCGCTGAGACACTTTTGAGCGGTTTTGCGATGTTCATCGCTCTTACTTGACAGATGAGACATCAATGCCAAGATTAGCTGGTTCAGTACGGCTTTCAAATTCGCTTCGGTCGAATAGGCTCTGAAAGTGGTCATTCTGAGAAGTCGTGAGACTTTGCAAACGAAATTAAACATACTTGCTCAGTGAAGGCAAGGAGACCATGTATGTGTCGAGACCTTCAAGTGAGACTTTACTATTGATGTCGTTGAGACGACCGATGAATGCTTCAATCAGCTGAAACGATTTGGATTTGCTGACCGGTAAGGAAGTCAGGTTTGAAGGACTGCAAGACCTTTGTATCAGAGGCGACTGCCTTGGCTGCAGTTGCGCACATCTCCTCGAATCGTTTCAAACCGCCCAGTCGACGTTCCCATCTACAAAAATGCACATAGCAATGAGAATTTCGTTTTTAGGGAAGACGGTGTTACTCTTAAGTTTGCAGAGGCATGCAGTTAAAGAGAGTAGGTTTTAGCTGCATGTTCTCGTAGACTAAATTACTTTCTGGTAGAGAAGTAGTTACTGGTTTCTGGGTTCTGGTGAAGAAGTCTGATGACTACGTTCACCTGCTCAAAATTCTTCAAATGAATTATAAGTATAGCACAAACCCCGCAGCAGTGAGATCAGCTCGTATTTCATCGAGATCCAATTGAACGTTGTCAGGAAGTTTCCTTTGCACAGCTTTTCGCATGCTTCCACTTCTTGACAGGGAGCTGCCCAACGAAGTGCATGTGCTGTCCAGTGAATCCAACCCCTAAATCCTCTGTTTATCTCCGTGATTACTCAATTTCTCTGAGAGAAATTAAAAAAGTTTAGTGCGTCTAGTCATGAGAGCTGTTCTAACCAGGCTATCCCAAAAAAAAAAACATAGTTCGTAGGACGAGTTCTGGTCTGATAAGGCCGGCTCTAACCTTCCCGAGATTGCAAACAGAAGTTCATGTTTGCCTTAGTGGGTCGAGCAATTATTTCCAGCATTTTTTGGACACCAAACCTGGATGGTAATTAGACTTTTTGGACGCCAAACTTGGATGGCAATTAGTGGAGAGGCCCAGATACAAGGCTTCTTTCAGTGGTCATGGACGAGTGCAAGGATACCCTTAAAGAATTGTTTAATGGTTTCTTTGAGCCTTCCCTCATAATCGAATTCCCGAATTAGAACGTGAGATATCAAATTTCGAGAATCAGGAATGTCTTCAGGGAATCTCTTCACCTGGCCGCTAACGCTGTTCAATTCCTTTTCATGGCCTCTGCTTTGAGAAAGTCATAATTGTAGAAAATTGTACAGTAAGCCTCCATAATAAAGCTGAGAATCTCGCACCTTCTTATCAATGTCGTCCAGAATCGCCCTGACGGCACGGTACTCCGCATCGGAAACGGCTTTCTTCAGTTGTCGATCGAAATTCGCATCCTGAAGCTCGTAATCAGTCGAACTGAGTTCGCTTTGAGACTTAGTATATTGCTTTTCGCAGTGGACGAGTGGTTTGGGCTCGAATTTTCAAGTGATTTCAACTGATCACTTGACGGCTTAATCAAGAGCAACGTATTTGGTTTCGAGAAAAGAACTGCCAGCGCTCCCGACTCGATGGAATAACCTGAGATACGCTATAGATGGGCTAAACCAGTCCTGCGGGTGTTATCGGAGTGTGGTGCGTTAGGAACGAAATGGTCGCGTCGCGGTGAGAGGGGCGTCGCGCGCGAAGGAATGTCGCAGAATGCAGCAGTAGGTAAGAAATACAAAAACAAAAGTACTAATAGTAGAATTATGCATAAAATAATGATCGCATATCGATTGAGCTGTATGAAGAATGCTAGAGCTGTAATAACGGCGGATGAGTGGTACGCGACAGCCGCGTGCGGAAAATCGATTACTCAAAAT